CCCGAATAACCAAAGACCTACATACAAACATCCGCGAAAACCTCAGAAAACATACACACATACATACATACATACATACATATATATATATATACATACATACAGAGACACACAGACACACACACACACATATGTGAAATAAAATAAGGTGATCACCAGGATAAAATCATAAACACAAATGTTTAATCTAGAAAACCAAGCTTTCGTCGGCCACACTACTGACATCATCAGGGTATAAGATGCTGGATCCGGGAGTCCATTTTTATGTGGCTGACTGCCTCTGTGCTTTGACCGTAGATTGGGTCATTGGTCCGCTCATTAACATCAGCTGTGTAGTTCTTAAAGGGGCCGTTTTTAAAGTTGCCCTCTCCTCTCCAAGTGCTGTTGTTTTCTTTGTGTGTGTATTGGTGTCTGGAGATCCACTGTTCATCCATTCCCAGTCACCTCTCCCCACCCCATTATTCATCTTAGTTTGCCTCTGTATTGCTGCACTATCTAGCGTGTGTGCTTCAATCTCTGTTCTTCTATTTGCCAGCCTTTTTGCTTTCCTTGCCCATGTGTAAACTCCTGGGGGTTGGTCTTCTCGTTGTTCCTGTTTCTTATCACTCCCCTTTTCTCTCTCACTAATGGGTGCAGGAAGCAACAGACAGACTGCTAGCCCCCTTCAACGTGAAGGTAGCCCACAAACCAGACCAGACTCTCTGCACTAGGATCATGTGCCCCAAGGACTCACTCCCCACTGGAGAAAGATCCTCGGTAATATACAAAATTAATTGCAAGGATTGCCCCTGCAATTATGTTGGCGAAACCTCCAAGAGACTTAAGACCAGGGTCCATGAGCATGAGGTGGCAGTTAAGAGAAGAGAGCAATATTCACAGGTATGGACCCACATGGCCAACTACGGCCATGGATTTGACTTCACTAACGTTGTGGCCATATGCCAAGATAACACCAAGGGAGGCTGCCTTCTCAAAGAAGCCTGGCTGTCAGACAAACACTCCATCAGTCGCCACATAGAGCTCCCTCCAGCATATCACATACTAAGGGGATGGGAAAGATGGGGTGCTAATTGGAAACACAGGCGACCAACTCACTCCATACAAGATCAGAAAGAGGGGTTGACAGGGGAGGTGATCACAACCCTGAGAGAGAGCGATGAACAGGGGATACACCCCACAAGTAAAACGATGTCCCCAACCCATTCAAACATTAAAGAGGAGAGGAGAGATGACACAATGCTAGTAGACAACTTATCCACAGAAGCTGATGTCCGGATCGATGGAAGAACAAGGAGGATGAGAAAAAACACGAGGGAAATATATCCCACAGGCATCCAAAGCACAAACAACTAACCCAGTCAGGACGAGGGAAGGAGAATAATTAACAGGTACCACTGGATGGCTTCCCCCAAGGGGCATACACACATACCGGGGAGAAGGGAAAAGCTCCAATATACCCCGTTGATGACACCTGGCCAGACAGACGAGTGCACCTGCTAATGAGGAAGGTAGCAAATGAGAGGTAAAAGCACCTGGACACCCCCCCCGGATGACTATAGATGCAGGGGAGGGGCAACAGAACTTAAGAATGGGGGAAATGCACCAGAGGTAGGCCTCGTGAATGACTCGGCAATAGAATTACGGCCCCAATCAACGGGAGAACAGGTGAGTAATAGAAAACGCAAACAGGATGAGTATCTCCTGCGCTCTCATATATGTACCAAGGGGGCAATGAGGGTAACAAGCAGTGGAGCCATTCCAAAGACACATCCAGTTAGCAACCCATTAACACCTACAGGAGCTCACCCATTAGCGAGAGAGAAAATGGGGGGTGATAAGAAACAGAAACAATGAGACAACCACCCCCAGGAGTTTACACATGGGCAAGGAAAGCAACAGAGCTGGCAAATAGAAGAACAGAGCTTGAAGCACACACGCTAGATAGCGCAGCAATACAGAGGCAAACTAAGATGAATGAGGGGGTGAGGAGAGACGACTGGGAGCGGATGAACAGTGGATCTCTAGGCACCCCCCCACACACACAAAGAAAACAACAGCACTTGGAGAGGAGAGGACAACTTTAGAAACGGCCCCTTTAAGAACTACACAGCCGATGCTAATGAGCGGACCAATAACTCAATCTAGGATCAAAGCGCAGAGGCAGCCAGCCACATAAAAATGGACTCCCGGATCCAGCATTTTATGCTGATGATGTCGGTAGTGTGGCTGACGAAAGCTTGGTTTTGTAAATTAAACATTTGTTTTTATGATTTTATCCTGGTGATCATCTTATTTTATTTCACATTGTGTGTATACCCGGGATTCATGTTTTTAATACTATTAAGGACAAATATATATATTTGCACTCAAGGTAATTCCTCCCTCTGTCTCTTCCCTCCCTGACACAGCTGACAAAGTGAGAAAGAGCCTGTGGCCTAGAGGTTAACACAGTTGCTTAACATGCAGAAAGCCCAGGTTCGAATCTCAGAAGGTTGATGAGAACTAAAAAGTTCGAAATAGCTATTCCATTCTCCCTTAATTCTTTGTTAGCAATCCAAATTTTATAATATATATATTTTTATATATATATATATATATATATATATATATATATATATATATATGTGTGTGTGTGTGTGTGTGTGTGTGTGTGTGTGTGTGTGTGTGTGTGTGTGTGTGTGTGTAGGTCTTTGGTTGTTCGGGTTTTCTCCCGCGTAAAATTGGAAGTGTCTTGGCGACGTTTCGACAAAGTCCCATTCGTCATCTTCAGGCTGGTGTTTTCAGCTTTGCTGCTCGAAGCACGAAGCTGAAAACACCAGCCTGAAGATGACGAATGGGACTTCGTCGAAACGTCGCCAAGACACTTCCAATTTTACACGGGAGAAAACCCGAACAACAAAACAATGCTAAAAATAGAAGACTGATTCCTGGGTGTGTACATATTAAAAGACAAAAAAGTGATCACCAGGAAATACAAACAATAAAGTTTTAATAAACAAAATCAAGCTTTCGATGGCCTAAAACTGCCATCATCGTCAGGGTGTAAACAGGTTGATGGAAGAGCTTCTTATAAATGTAACAGCGTCTGCGCTCGGCTCCTGGACCTCGTGACAGGTCCCGGCCGACCAATCCTTGCCTCCTCTATAAAATCAATTGATTTGTCCTTGCATCCTTTGCTTATATATGTATTACCACCCACCTCCCCCTTTTTTCATATTTGTAAATCCGGGGAGCGTCCCGTGTTTCCCCAGGTCAAGATACACCTCTCGTCCTTTAGTTGGTTCCTCTTCTCATACTCTTTGAGGTGCTTTCCACCTTCACTCCTTTGGTGTGTATCGTAGCCATTTTCACTTTCTCTACAACAAGGTTTCGCCCTAGGGATCCTGCATCCACTCTCGTTGTCCAACATACTTTTTCTTTTTATTCTGCCGGCATTCATACAACCCCCATCACTGAATGTTCTGGAGATGCAGATAGCGCTCTCTCACACCACCACCCAGCACAGATCAACTCCGTAGCCAAGACACTCATCCCCAGAACAAAATGCTTAGCTGATGAACAACACCTAAAAACCGAACTACACACTCTCACCAATGTACTAACATCCAATGGATTCCAAAGAAATAAGATTACAAACCTAATCCAAAAAGAAACCCCCACTAAAATCCAAAACAGAGAACAAGAAAACGGCAAAGCCCTCCTCCCATACATAAAAGGCACCACAGACAGAATCAGTAAGATCCTCCATAAATACAACATCAAAACAGCATTCTGCACAAACAGAAAAATATCCACCACCCTTAGAAACCCCAAAGATAAAATTGAATTAGAAAATCAAGGAGTATACGAAATCCCATGCACCACTTGTCCCACCACATACATCGGACAAACCAACAGAAGAATAAGTGCACGCATTGAAGAACATAAGAACTCAGTCGAAAAAGAGGAACCAACATCTTCCCTGGTTCAACACCTTAAAGCCACAGGACATGAAATTGACTTTAAAAATACCAGAACCATTGCCAAAAGTGAACATTTTAATAACAGAATAATCAGAGAAGCCATCGAGATAGAAAAACGCCCACACAGCATGAACAAGCGAGATGATACCTCCCGCCTACCATCCATTTGGAAACCCGCCCTTATTGACAAACGACTCCCTAACACAAAAAATGATACCAGACCCACACTCACAAAAACCACACAGAATGTCACCACCACACATCCACGCAAAAAACAAACCCAACGCCACACCGATGACGAGGCACGACCACAAACCATAAGCCAGACCACAGCTGCATCATTAGCCACTTTAAACCCCTCCAATCCATATATGAAACAAACTGACACCCTCCATGAAGAGGAAGCACGACCACGAACGTGAAGCCAGAAAATAGCAAGGCAGCCCAAAATCTCAAACCCCTCTGCAACTCAGACTAACCTGAGCACAACCAAACAGAACACTCCCCCAGCCAATCAGAGCACAGCCAAGCCCCTAACCATTCAGAACACACCTCCACCCAATCAGAACACAGCCAAGCTCCCACCCAATCAGTTCATACCCCCACTGGCAGTTAAAAGGAAGAAACAGCTAAGACCACACATTGCTGCTCGAAGCACGAAGCTGAAAACACCAGCCTGAAGATGACGAATGGGACTTCGTCGAAACGTCGCCAAGACACTTCCAATTTTACGCGGGAGAAAACCCGAACAACCAAAGACCTACATATATATATATATATATATATATATATATATATATATATATATATATATATACACTGTATACTGTATACTGTATACTGTATACTGTATGTGTATACATATATCTCTAGATGGTCAGATTTGGAACATATAAATTCAATAAAAAATAAATAAAATACACACATACAAATATGGTTTTGATATACCTGAGAAAACATAAGAGCAGGTTATATGAAAGCTTTGATCTTATCCATTGCTTGCTTAATTTCAGAAAATGTTTATTATAAGCATCTTACCTGGAGGAGAAGTAACTTTGAAAATTAAGTGGCAGTCAGAGCAAGAGCTGGACACAAGCAAATTCTGAAAGCTAGCCTGTCCATCTTGGACCATTACTCTTTTGTTACCTGAAAATATTCAGACTTGGATTATTAAATCCTGTTGAACATCATGTAGGATAGTGACAACTATTTTAAACATTGGAAAAGAAAGATAAATAAAAAACAAAACATATATGCTTAGTAAATCAATCAAGTATAAAATATGGCTATTGGAGCTTGATTAACATATTATATTTTTAAAAACTCAACATAATAAATGAAGATAATCTATCCTTTTCTCCCATGCAATAGGGTATTACAGTGAAATCTCAATTTAGCAACCTCTATTTAATGGATACAACAGATCAAATTTGCACAAATGATGGAAACTAATACAAATAATGTTGAAAGCCAACTTGTAAATTTAGATTTAACAAACATTTGAATTTAATGGATACTCTTGACCCAATTTATTTATTTAAAATTGGGAGGCAATGGCTCCCATAGTTAGAATGCTGGGTTGACAATCAGCAAGCCTATGTTTGAACCCCAAGTGCTACTGTGTGATTGGATGAGCTCCTGTCATTCACTCCAGTTTCTGTTCACCTAGCAGTTCAAAAGTGTGCCAACACAAATAGATGAATAGGATCCATTTTGGTGAGTTCATTAACAGGGATGTGAAAGGAGCCTCCAACTGGGCAATGGTGATGTCTCCAGCTGATCCTTTCACCACAGAAGCACTAGGTGACACAGAAGCACTTCTGACACAGAAATATAATATTTATTTAAAACATTTATATAGCCACCTGCTTTTTAAGTATCTCTGGATGACTCCCAAACAAAAATTAAAAGACATATAAAATCATTTTAAAACTGTAAAACAAAAACCTAGTGCTGATCTGTTCTAATGTACAATCTCAATTCTTGGGGTAAAGGCCAGGTCTTTAAATGAATGAACCTTTATTATCAAAGTATAACATGTATACAGTGAGATTGGCTGAACCTCCCTCTGTGCCCCCCAACTCACAGTGACTACAAACCCCCAACTTACATGTATTACACCCTGTGAGCTAATTGTACAGCACACCAGAAGGCTAAAAGAGTGAAGGTTGTCAAACTTGAGGAACTAGTGTCCCATAGGGCTGGGGCTCCCCTGGAAAAGCCATGTTTCATAGGTCTCAACAGATGACAATATTTAGGAAAAGGGACTAGTCCAGTGGCTCTCAACCTGTGGGTCGGGACCCCATTTGCGGTCGAACAACCATTTCACGGGGGTCGCCAAACAACGCAGTCTGCCATTTTTTTCCTCTTTTCCTTAGCTGTGCTACTCCCTTTTATTCTATTGGCTTTTGAAAGCCAATAGAATAGACTCTCTTGAATAGAGTCTAATTCTATTGGCTTTCAAAAGCCAATAGGAATTGTCCAGGCTGTCTCTGCCCTGCTGAGCCCGCCAAAAGTCCCATTCTGCAAACGGTGCTGCAAGTTGTCTGCAGCAAAGACGAGCTGTCTGGAAGTTTCCACCCCTCCCTGCTGAGCAATTACTAAAAATGTAAGTAAAAGAGGGCCAGGGGTGGGAGGTGGGAGGCCGGCGGGCTCAGGGAGGGTTGCTGGCGCACGTGGGGCCCGGCGAGTGCCTTATCTCCCTTGGGCTGGGCCAGCTGGTGGCCTGCGCCGTCTCTGCCGCTTTCCAGCTATGCCTCGGCTGGTGCAGAGGGCGGCACCATGCATGCGTGGCGCTCCCGGGCAGGGAAAGTCCTCGACTTACGACCATTTGGGGGTTGCGGCATTAAAAAGGTTGAGAACCACTGGACTAGAATCATACCCATCCCATCTGACATGGTACTGTAAAACTGGTAGACATCCTTAAGGAAAGGCAGTCCTGCAAATAGCCTGGCTCTGTGCCATATAGGACTTTAAATGATGACCAGTACCTTGAATTGCACCTGGAAAGAAAGTGAAAGCCAGTGCAACTTGCACAACAGAGGTTTATTCAGGCAAACATTGGGGCCCATATTACTGTGCATCTGCTGCAGTCTAGACCAGTTGAAGTTTCCAGGTGTGACCTTCAAGGACAGCCTTCTGTACAGCACATTACATTAATGTAGATGGGGGCTTGTTAAATTAAAACTTTGCAATACATAGAGGAAGACTAAAGATACAGATATTTTAAAAAGCTAAAAGCTGCATTGTTGTTATAAGATTGGCGTATAAGATGAAATTTTTAGACATAATATCACTTTTTTCATTTTTTTGTATCATTGCTACGGGGTAAACTCAGTTTTGCTGACTTTTTTAAAAAAAATAGCAATTTTTTTAAGAGGAAAAAAAAGAAATAACCATTTCTATGAACACATGATATTCTGTTGAGAAGCTTATTTGGGATTTCCACATCTTAAATTATCATATAATTCTTTGGATATCATAAAAACGAAGTCATTACTAAAAGTCAACATGGGTTTGTCAAAAATAGATCATGCCAGACAAATCTTATTGCATTCTTTGACCAAGTGACAAAATTAGTGGATCAGAGGAATGCTGTGGACATAATTTACTTGGACTTCAGTAAGGTATTTGATAAAGTAGATCACAACCTACTACTTGACAAGATAGAAAAATGTGGGGTAGAAAGCACCACCACCAGATGGATCCGTAGCTGGCTGACTGGCCGTACTCAGTGTGTGGTCCTCAATGGAACTGCATCTACATGGAGGGAAGTGTGTAGTGGGGTGCCGCAGGGCTCTGTTCTGGGCCCAGTGCTCTTCAATATCTATATCAACGATTTGGACAAGGGGATAGATGGGGAACTCATCAAATTTGCAGACAACACCAAGCTGGCAGGAATAGCCAACACTCCAGAAGACAGGCTTAAGATACAGAAGGATCTGGACAGACTTGAACACTGGGCGCTATCTAACAAAATGAAATTCAATGGTGAAAAAAGCAAGGTTCTACATTTAGGCAAGAAAAACCAAATGCACAGGTATAGTATAGGGGGTACCTTGCTCAATAGTAGTAACTGAGAGGGACCTCGGAGTCCTAGTGGACAATCACCTAAATATGAGCCAGCAGTGTGCTGCAGCTGCCGAAAAGGCCAATGCAGTGCTAGGCTGCATTAACAGAGGGATAGAATCAAGATCACACGAAGTGTTAATACCACTTTACAATGCCTTGGTAAGGCCACACTTGGAATACTTCATCCAGTTTTCGTCACTGCGATGTAAAAAAGATGTTGAGACTCTAGAGAGAGTACAAGAACAGCAACAAAAATGATTAGGGGACTGGATGCTAAAGCATATAAGGAACGGTTGCAGGAATTGGGTATATCTAGTTTAATGAAGAGAAGGACGAGGGGGGACATGATAGCAGTGTTCCAATATTTCAGGGGCTGCCAGAAAGAAGAGGGTGTCAAGCTATTTTCCAAAGCGCCTGAAGGCAGGACAAGAAACTAAGCAAGGAGAGAAGCAACCTAGAACTAAGGAGAAACTTCCTGGCAGTTAGAACAATTAACCAGTGGAACAACCTGCTCCAACACTGGAGGTTCTTAAGAAGAGACTGGACAGCCATTTGTCCGAAATGGTATAGGGTTTCCTGCCTGAGCAGGGGGTTGGACTAGATGATCTCCAAGGTCCCTTCCAACTTTATTATTATTATTATTATTATTATTATTATTATTATTATTATTATTATTATTATAAAATCTTGACTACTCATAACACTCTTAATTCATAGAAATGCCATTTTTTTTCCCAAAGATCCTATCATCAGCAGCACTGGAAGATTTTAAAACTGCCATTTCTGACACTGACATGAACCTCAGAGTAATATACTATACTTTCAAAAGGAGGTGATCTCAGCTTTCTGGCACATATGCTTCAAATCCCAGAATATTATGGATATATATGGTATTCATCTCAAAGATCTCCTGGCAAGCTGGTATTTAATGCTGTAGAGAGCTAATTTGGAACTAAACTATTTTGCAAAAAGCAGTTTGGCGGCTGTCAGATGAAGCAGGCTGTGTATGTGTGGCGGATCATTTTCTTGAAATGCTAGTTACAACAATCTATAATTGTTATAGGTTTGGGCATTTGTCAAAGGAATAAATGCAGCAAATGATTACAGAGCGAACATCTGCACAGCACTCTTCTGTTATTCCTGGAGTTTATTGTCCATTAATTTGATGTATGTTTCCTTTAAAGAATCCTCCCCCCCCCACCACTCCTGTTCAATGACTATCCTTTATTTGAGCCTTCTTCTTCCATTAGTTTTCTTCTTTCTATTCCTTCTCTCATGAACTAATATATTTTCAGTTGGATTGAAGAATAAAAAGTAGTTTCTTAATTCAGGAAAAAAATAAGAAAAATTGCTGTATAATAAATAATGATGTTGAGTTATTCAAGAGATTGCACATAAAGTATCTTATTGTCTTGTTGGTTGTGAAAGCTACGACAAATTGTTAGTATCTAAATTCAGCACCTGTCCAGGGCAAAATGCTCCTGGTGTTTACCATCCTTTCCTAGTACAGAAATGTCCACCCAGTGAAACGAGCTGTGCAATTGATGTCATCAGCCAGCATGTAAATCACAATTACCTCATTGGCTTCCTTGGCACAAGGCCAGCTTAATCCAGCAGAGCAACTGCCAAGGTTAATGTCAGTCACAGCAATAAGGACATTACATTCATTGCTTAAAAGACCACAAGGGGGGCACTGGGGGTCATTAAACGGATAATTGAAAGACATTTGCATACTGAATTCCTTTTCTCTATTATCTATTCTCAGTCAGCCACATATCCACCTATCTGGCCTACACAAGCCCGGGAAATGTATATTTAGCATGATCAGGGCTCCCATCTGCAAAGTCCACTTGGAACTTCCAATTGGTGCACAGCGGGAGGCAGCTCTGTTGCTGCTGATGATGCTTATTTAATTCTGTTTTTTCAATAGCTCAGCGAGCACGGGTGGTGGTGTTACTCTGGGATGTACTTAGTACCTAGTAGCCACCATTTTGAAAGAGACAAAAATACCTCAAATCGTTCAGCATGGTGTTTTTTTTTTTCTTAAGGGTTTAATTAAGCCTGAGTAGGAAGGAGAGGCAGACTTTAACACTAATTCTTTCTGTCCCTGAAATCACTGAGATCACTGTTCTACTCTATATTTGCAATATAACCTTGGTAGAAAAAAAAATTACTTCTTAGGTCCCTATCTTGTCTTGTGAAACTGTTTGTTGCTGGAAATTCCAAGATGAAAGAGGCTAAAGAACATTTCACTTAGAGTCTACTGCAGGAGAACATTTGTAATATTGACATGTGCTTTGGATCAACAGCCATCATGGGATTCAGACAAAATTTGTAATTTATTGATGTTTGATGAAGTATGCCAATTTATTACAGAGATCTCTAGCTGGCTAAAGGTGATGTCTTGAATCTAAGCTGCATGGAATTATTTTAGTGACTGTGGCAGCACACAAATTAATAAAAAATAAATAAAAATAGTAGCTACAGATAAAGGGTGGTAGGGTGGCAGGGATCTATTATGAGTCCATGCTAGTTTTAAGCACCTTGTTCATACGACACCAAAGTTTGAGCAGTGATTCTTGTTCTTGGGTTTGCAAGACTGAACTTACTGGCAATCCATTTCTGAGTACACTTCAGGTTGCCACTTATTATCTTTAACATTTTATGTGGCATGACATCTGACTGCATGTTATCTTCCCTCACATGAATCTGCTCATCTTATAATATAAGACCTCTTGCAACAAATGTTGCTTTCACAGGTAAGAGAACATTTGTAAAGACTTTCTTAATGGTGGCTCCCCTAAAGCTTTCAGATCTGGACTCCATAAATCCAAGTAACCACAAGATGAAAGCAAAGAATGTAGAAAAACCTAACTCTGCTGCCATCCAGTAGTTATCTGGGTATCTGAAGCTCAGCAATGATAGTCCTCAGCATCCCAACAGGGCATTCCTTATTTAGATTATGTTGATAAAAGGAGCCATTTCTGGTTCAACAAGTGTGTATTATATCTGCAGTGCTTGATTGTAGCTGCTTGATAATTTTGCATTTGGCGAGTTTCCTGCTATTTTAAAGCTTCTTCATATTACTATTCTTTTGTTCAATTCATATCAGTGATGCATTGCTCTTTACATAACATCTTTTTTCACAGAGAAAAGTAGGAATTTGCACTCATGTATTGTCTATAATGAAAATGAATAAAAACCTATTGGTGTTTTTAAAAAATATCCAAACCTTTCAACATAATTTCTGGGTGGTTTTTGAGGTAAGCTGTCACAAACCATGGTTTGGAAGGGAAACCTAAGGACACAATTCTCCGTCCCTGGAAGGAAGGAAGGAAGGAAGGAAGGAAAGAAGAAAAAAGAAAGAAAGAAAGAAAGAAGGAAAGAAAGAAAGAAAGAAAGAAAGAAAGAAAGAAAGAAAGAAAGAAAGAAAGAAAGAAAGAAAGAAAGAAAGAATCTGTTGTTATTTGTCATTTTATCTTTGATACTTTTACTAAGGATCATATTACAGGGCTAATCAACTGAACATAGAAAAAAATCGATAAAACAATCCTTCATATGTTAAGTGTTTATGAAAGTAGTATTAAAGTATTATATTATGAAAGGACAAACAAATAGAAACACATTGCTCTGGAAATAATTCTAATTAATACTGAAGAAGGCTTAATGAAAAAACGAATCAGGACTGTTTCAGTTTCATTTTCTGTACCACTACCTTCTTCTCTGTTTTACAGTTTTTGAGTAAAAAAAAAGTGATTTTTAATGAAGTGTATCAATTCCATGTCATTCAGCATAACTAGTCAAGTAATATTGGAGGCATCAAACTAACTTTTTTCCTTTTACACAAGAAACATCTCTGCAGCTAATCTGATAGTACCCTGGGCTGAGTTTCACATTCTGTTTCATTCTTCTATGGCTTCAGGCAGCAAAAATATGAAACGGCTATCACTGCCCTGTAGTTATTCTTGTAAATTGAAGGCAAATGTTTGCCAGAGTCATTGTTGACACTGACCTCTTTTAATATAAGTAGCATATATTAGTGATATTGTTTAAAATGTACAGTCTGTAAATGAGGAGCAGAGAGAATTTTCTAAACTAGCAGTTACAGAAGAGAGACCTTCATAATCTCAGATTAAGTAATCCAGCCTCACTGCCCGTGTCTTCCAGGATTTCTGCCTTCTATGAAGGCTAAACAAGTCTGCTAATTTTAAGCTTCATGTAATGTCTTGCAGAAAATTTGCTATCAATTGCAAAGAGAATAAAAGGAAATTACATTGAAGTTTGTAATGTAGATACTCTGTTTCTCTCTCCCTCTCCCTCTCTCTCTCCCTCTCCCTCTCTCTGTCTCTCTCTGTCTCTCTCTCTCTCTCTGTGTGAGTGTTTGTGCGCACGTGCATGTGTGTGATGTCATGAATAAAACACTGACAATCCTTAATAAAGATGGAGTTGTTGAAATGGGAACTTACAACAAATTTTGGCAGCTATTGGGGAGAGTAGTAGAAATGCAAGATTCCCAAGCTACAATTAATATTATTTCTAAAAGGCTAAAAATGAAGGGATTGTGTGGAACCTGTTGACCGATTTATTTGGAATTTCTCTCATTTCCCCTCTGATTACATCATATTCCAATTTAACATAGTTGTAACAATATCCAAGAAGGTCAGAATTTTTTTTTTAAAAAAAATCTAGAAGCCCTAGATCCTGCATCAGTTTCTAACCTAAAGTATGAAGTGTATGTCTTGGAATTTCATACCTTTTTGTCCAGAAAAATAATTTGTGGTTGCCTCAGCAGTGGCCTTTCGACCACTCCATTGGATGGTTGAATCCAGACAGAGATGCTGTAAGGACAGACGTAGAGGCAATTCCATGAAGTTGGCCTACTTTCATTTCTACATCAAAAAGAAAAGAAAACCATCATTAATGCTGATTATTTCAGAAACAATCACGTGGTAAGATGGATGGCTAATAAATCTTACAAATAAATAAATAAAATTGAAATTATAACCAAACACCCAGAGAAAGAATGTATGAACCATATCAATCTAGTTAGCATGCCTCAGAACTAAAAGAATGCCAAATACCAAATCCACTTAATTTGCAAGGTACAGAGAAGTGGCGTATAACTCTGAAGAAACTTTTCCTTTTCTATTACTCAGCTCAGAATATACTTCTAAAGTATTCTTCTTATAAAGTGCATTACATGCAGCAGTTGGGTTGACTATATTTATTTAACAATACTGTGATTCTTTATTTTTTAGCTGTACCATGTATATAGGCACCCCACTAAGTTTATATTCCAGGAGTAATTGACAATATCTTTTGCATTTGAATAAAAAAAAATGTGCTTCATTTAGGGCCCACATGGCTCACATCATTTCCAATTCTTCTTGTCATTATCCTTTTTTATATATGCTTCTAATCCACTGCTACAGAGTGGTAACTTGGGGTTTGATATTGCCTCAAAATGAAAGTTAAAAGTATAAAAGCTTTATATTTATTCAGTTTTCCTGGTGTTTGCTTTAAAATGTCTACAAACAATGGATTTATTGAGAGCCAATTCCCTTTAGTTTAACTCAATTTCTTTAACAGAATTCTTTTGCATTCTGAAGCTTTTACCACATTCTTTCTCTGCAAGGATTTTGCCCTTGCAAATTACACTATGGAGGCAAAATAAAACTGAACTCATTTTTAAATGGCTAGTTTAAACAGCCATTACTTTCTGATATAACTATTTAGGAATAATACAGCAGAATAGAAAAGTGGGTTGCAGAATATTAGGAGAGAATTATATATAGGAGTTCCTAGAACTACTGTTGAAATTTATCATACATAAGCCGATAAACTATTTTAGTGAGCCATGTAATTTAACAGATTTTTCCCATTGCAAGGATCATATTAAAAGAGAATGTTCTGTTCAAGAAAAGTAATAGTTTCAATATGAATCAGTTCTATTAGCCTTCAATAAGAGTGTCAATATATCATTTTATTTCCTGTCTCCACCTAAAAAAGCATTTGAAAACCAAGGACTATGAATAGAGGACTATAAATCATTAGGGCATACGCAGTTATTATCCCTGTTATTTGAGCGTAGGCATTCAGCACCTGCAGCTGCTATCTGAAGGAAAGAAATCCCATTGTCTTTGCAAAGGCAGACAAGTAGGATTATGGATTTTAATACCAAATGACTTTATCTATCCAAATATACTTCCTTTATTTATACAAACATAATTTCTACTATTATGAATTCATTATAGAGAATGAATATAAATGATACAGAGATAGAGAAATACACAGATAGATATGAGACAGACAGATGCTGTGGGGGGGGGGAATCCTAGAAATTTTGGAAAAACTAACTGAAATCAAACTTCTGATCTAGCATAACTTTTTTTTAAATTTTAGTAACATAAATCAAACCTGGTTTGCTCATAAAAAATGAATGTGGTATATTAAATTTAAAAATATATGATTGAATAGTCCATTTTAAAATACATATAGATGGATGATTTTCTGTAAGGATTTCAAGGATAAATGCATGGGGCAAGAATAAGACATTCCTTCCAATTCCAAATCCTTTAGACTTCCTCTAGCCTAAGCAAGCAGGATCAGTTCCTTATATCCAATCTAACCCTTTCATGCATTGTTGCCCTTTTTGCTATAACTACCAATCTTTATAAATTGAACAGAAAGTACCAATTTTTCTTCCATCTCTTGTGAAAATGATAGTGCCCCCTGGTGGCAGAATACATCTTGCACTTGTAAATTTGCTTTAACCTCATTGTTAAGTATTGCAATGATCTTGTTTGTCTTGTTTCTCTGCCTCTTTAAAAACTGTTTTAATCCTATATTAAGATGTAATCCTCTTATGTTAAGAATTCACACTGGAATCAGTATGATGGAATCTGAATGGAAGGAAACTGGATTTGCCATCTTTCTCAAGCCAATTGCTTTTAGGGAAACCAAGAAATTTCTTTTTTTGAGATTAGGCAAATGAGATCAAGGACCAAATTCAGTAGTATTCAGTAGTAATGGACTGGAAGGCAATCTCTTCCCTATCTGTAGAAGCCTAAAAATTTTAGTAGGATTCATAAGAGGGTACGGATGAACATTTGGTTTTTAATATTCCCCTTGTCATATCTTTTTAATTTGGATTTTAAATGTATATATATGTGTGTATATATATATTACAATCCATATTATGTAGAGATTCTGGGCAGAGATAAATTATATGGGTAGACTTATTTGATTCAGATCTTCTTTTGAAATCTGGTAACTGGTTCAGATCATACTTGAAGGCTCACTTTTAAAAAGCCAAGAAATCAACCTTAGCAAAAATAGGTTATTAGATACATTCACTGAGCAAGAAAATTCCTACAAGATATTATTTATTTCTGGTCAATTTGTCCAGTTTTTGGTTAGACTCTTTTCTTTTGTTCTATTAGTAGAGTATTTCTTAGTAGGAAACAGTGCCAGTCAATCTGTTTTGTATTGGCTAAAATCATTTTTCTGTTTTTTTCTCCCCTTTCCTCTTCTTCTTGGTATTAGATCCTTATCTTCTCATTCTGAAACACTAAGATCTGGGTGATAATGGAAAGAACAATACTTGTGTTTACAAATGAGCTTCAGAACAAATGAGTTTGTTCCCATGGTACAATTCCACCTCCCTCTATCTCTCCCCCCAGAGTGGTCTGTCCCTTCCAGCCATTCTGTGGTTGCTAATGGTAACCAGATGGCCCTTTTTTTGCTCCCTCAAAACATTAACTCAAATTGTATGTTGTACAGATTAACAAAACTGTGGTTTACTCTGACAGTTTTACAGGCCTAAATATGTAATTTGGAGTCTTAAAAAGTGGATCCAGGCAGGTCTCTACTTTGCCTCTTAAATTTAGCACCTGAGGAACAATAACTTATTAAACATAAACAGGATTCTGCCATGGGATAGAATGTGCCAATTGGCTGCTGCAGCCTATCCCAAGGTAATACTGCTTTTAAACTCCGCATAAACTCCTAACAATTTCCCAACCTAAAACTAGACCGTAGGTGGTAGAATTTTTTACGATATGTTATAATAGTGCAATAAATCTGTTAGCTTAAAATCGAATCTCCGTGGCCTTTTAGAGAAATCATCATTAAATGCAAGGCCCTCTTAATGATGCCATCTTGGCGAAATTGTTTAATCTGCAAAGAGGGTGAAAGGTCACCAAATGAATTTTTTATAATACATCAACTTGACACGCAATAGGGAAAACTGTAATAGATAAAAGCAAAGGAAAAGGGCACTGTCTTCTTCTGATAGGTCAATAGCAGCCAAGAGAGTCACTCATCCTTCCACTTTTCCTTCACTGCTCTGCTCCTTTCCCATTTAATATGGACACCCAATTAATACCTCAGTACCATGGACAACCTCATTTTAGGTGAATTATAGCTATTTCTTTCCCCCTTCCCTGAAATGAAAGTAATCACAATACATCATAGCATTGTGCGAATTAGCATTAATTGATTCCAGTTACCAAGCATTGATGGGCCACTTATATAACCTGGGCCTTATTGGGAGCTGGAAGGGATGGAAGGAAGATTAGATTGCAATGTCCGTTGCTTTGACGACGGCAGTCAGCTGACGCCTTGTTAGGTGGTTGTACGCTTCTATTGCAAGCCCCAGTGGGGTCGTCAGTAAACTGGAGTGATGTCCAAACATCATTACATGCTGCTTCGATATTAAAGCAAAGGGATTAGCACCTTATTGCAAGCAACCTGGATTTGTCATTGTGCTGTCCTTATCCAATTTCTAGCTGATAATGTGACTATGGCCTGCAGAAACAAGGTCCTCCAGCAAAGATATAAAAAATTTCAACTGCCCAACAGCTAAAGTATTTAACCCTTCACCTGCTGTGCTTTCGGCCAATTAGCTATTGCTTTCTTTAAAGAGCTGTGCTAGGCAGCAGGCCATGACAAATGTCATGTGGGCTCTGATGCCCTCCACTGTGTCTTAATTTCATGTTGCTCCACTAATTTCTCTAAATTAGCACATAGAGATGCAGGTCCTCTTCTCATAGGTCTAATGTATGTTGATGTTAACACATGTTGACTTCTGATATAGATTTTTAGTTTAGTGAATCAAAGATGATTGAAAAGTTCTCATATCAGAATATATTCCTCTTTCAGCTGTAATTTTATTTTATGTTTCCCTGAGGTGTGCTTTTTTATAGTCTGCACCCACTCTGGACCATTGTAGAATTACTTTGGTACACGGAATTACAATGACAAAATAAGTATGCAAAAATTGTTAAATGATTTTATTATCTCAATTGCCTCAATGCATCTAAAAGAAATCTACCACAAGATTTAAATTTATGCCCATGTCCCATAAATACAATAGCAATGATAACAACACAAAGAGAGGATTTTGAACATGATAGTTTAACTTAGAACTTCATATGTAATATGAGCAGATCCCAAGGAGAAGTTTCCAGTAGGGCCTAGTTAATTAAAAAAAAAATGTTGGCAGACCTGCTTCTTTTCTGTATTGCTTCTTTCCTGAATTTTGATCCCAGTTCAGGAAAGTGAGGGTGTCTTGGAAAGCTACAAGAAGAATTCAGGAAAAAAAATCTCTTTTGGAGTCTGGGTTCCTGTTAAGTTTAATAGATTAATGGCTGATACTGATCATTTTATAGCTATGAAATGGGGAAATATCTATTAATAAGCAGATTCAGGCTGATATGGCTTTATTAAGATAAGTGTATATCAGCATTTCTGGTTCCAAAATTTAAAAGAGACATAAACCACAAATTAATATGGTAATTTTTAAATGAATAAAGCATAAAGAAATGCAGCAAAATTGTATAAAAACAAATATATGAATTTTAAAGAAGAATTAATTTCCATTTACAAACTCTCCCCGTAAAATCTGGCACCATTTAGAAAAAGAATGTTTGACCCAAGGGAATTAAAAGGAGTTCACAGTTAATCTGCTCCAAATAAAAAAATACCTGTGGCTCAGAATATGTTGTGTAATCCAGAAAGAAGGCCTTTTAAATTAATAATAGTACTGCTGCCAAATATATCCAAAATCATATTCTTATTAGGGAATAATATTGCAAAGAAAAGTGCTGCCTCTGCCCAAGTCTATGGACTTCTTTGGAGGTCTTCTTTTTGATCTCTCAACCGATTGAAGTTGGACAAAAAGCTACAAGGAACAGAGCTTTCTTGGCTGAGCCATTATCAGGGAAGCATGCCCACAGTTGTCTCAGTAACCAAAGAAAACATTGACGTTCTCACATGCATTGTTATAGTTTTCAAATCAGTTTAAAGTCCTTTTAAATTCCAATGCTGTGTAAGGGTTTGTTGTTTTTAAATCCTTGAGTCAGGGGCAGGATTTTCAGAAATGGTTGTCATTGCCTCTTTCTTGGGCTGAGAGGGAATGATTCACTCCAAGTTACCTACCTGACTTTCATCTACCATTAGATCAAAATGACTATATTTTAATATGGTCCATAGAGTCAACTCTGATTCCTGGTAACCAGAGGAACAGCATCATGCAATTTTGTGACTGTAGAAATGACATTTTTCCTAAGAATGAGTGAAAGTGATTGACCCAAAGTTACTCAGGTGACTTTTATGACTAAAGCCGGACTAGAAATCATGGTTTCCTAACTTCTACTCCAATGCCTTTCATCATTACATCAAACTAGTCCTCTTCTACTATTTATTAATTGCATTTTATTATCCCACAATATAACTCTCTTACTTTAACATTTAATGTTTTTAGCCATTCTGTAATCTAATCAGAAAAGATATGGTTGTTGAATAGATTAAAAAGCATTATAAATAAAGGAGTATCGGGTAGTGCATAAAAATAATCCAATAATTCCCAATTCAGTTCAAATAAGATTAAGCAGAGTTTGTCTATAACATAACTAGCTGTGCAATTAGTTGCTCCAGCCATTTTATCTTCAGGTAAGGGTGATATTTGTGGGACTTTTAAGAAAACTACTTTTGCTCAAGACTCTGAGACAAAGAAGGCAATAAGCTGCAACCATCATCTCTATTTCTCAGTTGAACTCCATCATGGCTGCCACAGAGATGTCACAACCATAGTTACAATGTACATTAATTTCTTCCTTATGAATCATTGCATAAGGAGAGTTTTGTCTTAACTCTTTTGTCATAATTAGATTGCTCTCCACAGTACAGAACCTCTAACCTACCTATTACTGAAGTGTGAAATTCTGAGCAAACACCAGAATGGGCAGCATTGCTGCACTTCATCAGACTACTGTGTCAAAAACTTTGTCCCAGGACCTGCCTTTAGTAATATCACTAGTGCACAGCTGACCAATAATAATGGTTGACCTCGTGGGTCTGAATGTAGGGAACTTCTACAGAATGGGTGATGAAGTGAGTGATCAATATAATGCTTCCTAGCTATATTATCTTAATAAAATCCTATCCAGTCTATTATAGAGAGGTGGGCAAGCAATCGATTGAATGACAAATAAAATGAATTTAAAAATGTAAAAATAATAAAAGTGGCATATAAATAAATAAATAAATAAATAATCTGACATAAATGAAATAAAATAGGTGACAACTCAGAAACAGCCTTTCTAGTAATATCTATGAAACTCCCCACCCCATTCCATCAGAACAATGCCCGAGCTGCCAATAAAATTTCTTTACATTTACTTGGGCTTTTGATTTTGTTTTAATGCTTTTATTAAATATTACTGCCCCTTTTCATTCAGTATTTGGGGTAATACATTTTAATATTATTCCATTGTGCCAGCTACTAATTTGAAGTGTAAGTAGATGTGGTGGGATGTAGTCTGGATTCCCAAGAGGGAGGAGTTGCATTCCAAAGGGTAAAGAGAAAGCAAAGTATGGAGAGTTTGGTAGGAAGAAACAGGGTTAAGACAGCTCCTCCCTTGTGATTTCCAGAGTATATCTATACTTATGCAAATACTCGGCAAGGTTCTGTCTATAAGTGAGGAACAATGCTCAGAAGTAACTCCACATTCTTTCTTGGTTCTTGGGGGGAAGGGTAACAATATGGAACCTTAAAATGAATACATAACCAAAAACAACAAACCCAAACTAACAAAGTTTGGAACACAAGAATATAATGTAAAATGTCTTACATATTCTTACATTCACAAATGAATTCTCCTCTGAAGCTATTTGAGGGCTGCTACACAGTGTTACTATGGATGGTAACTGAGAAATAACCCCCTTTTCTATTCAGAGGCCTTACATCTAAGAAAGGAAACAATCCTATGCTTGTTTTTAATATTAGTTTTGACACATTAAAAAATATCTGTATTTAACGATCAGCAGTCTTACCTAGAATTTTCTGTTGTTGGAACTGAAGCTGAGGAAACCATCACCACCAGAGAATCAACTGGCAATCTGAGAATACGCTGAAGTGTCCCAGTTTGTTGGGCATCAATAAGTGTACTGGCCAAACTGTTTAATCTGACACTTGAATTTGAGAAAGCAAGCTTATGTTTTAAGAAGTGTAATGGATCACTGATTTCAAGGATCAGCACTCTCAAGCCATGCATTACATGGGATGGATGCAAACTCTCCTGGGTGTTTTGTTGGCTGGTGCTATGATGAGTGAATAGGCACAAACTCTCTGGAGGGCACTGATATTTCCTCTTCATGCTATTGTCTGCAATAATCCTTAATGTGTCTTCATTTCCTGAAGTACTGGAGACCGCTCTAATTTCATCCTGCCCAATTTGTAAAAAACTTGCCAACTGTTGAATAAGCATTGCCTGAGCTTTCTCTCCCATATTTTCTGAGATGGTGAAAGCAATATGAAGAGAACTATGTGTATGTATTTCTATAGGTTCACCCCAGTGAACAGCAACATACAGAAGATTCTCTTGAAAATTGAAGTAATTAGTTCCTGTTGCGGCATTTTTCCAAAAAAGGCTGGAAAAAGACAAGACTGGTTGGATAGGGTTCTCTTTCACAAAAACATGAAAACTTCTTGGTTCATCATAGAAGATAGCTAAAAGTGTTCTGGCAATGTCATGACCCCCATTAAAATAGAGTCTTAATGACCAAGGAACTGGTCCAGCAAAGCAAATCTTTGAAAGACTATTTGATGGCAGTATAGAGTAAAATATCACAGGACGTTCTTTGGAGCAGAAAGATCCCTGTGTTGTGGCTTTACTGAAAGGGTCCACAAAGGTACTAGTTATCAATAAAGGTGGAGAGAAGTTCCTGTGATCAAAATCAGTGTCCATACTTTCCAAAATCACCATTGCATGATCAGTTTCCTTACAGAAGTAAACATTGGATAAAGGTTTGAGAATGCATTTTCCTTCTTCCCTGTAAATACCTGTTAAATAATAGTTTTTAAAAAGAATTATCAGCACAGATTTAACAACTCTTATAATTTTAGTCATTAGTCTTCTAGAACCAAACATTTTTCTCAACAGTGTTTGAAAAGCAATTCTACACAATTTCAGTTTCTATGAAATGTGTTAGAAATTCTAGACATTGGTGGGAAAAGGAAAAACAAAAAAATATTCATTTATCTATTTCTAATGAAAAAAATAGCATAAAGGCATGTTTGTTTTTAAAAAGTTGACATTTATTTTAACTTGTGATATATATAGTCAGCTAGATTATCAATATGATCAGACTAAAATAAATTTATATGACTTTGCCAAATATATCTTATTCATTGGGAGAACATCAAATCTGAGACAATTTGATGTACATTTATTCCACCTATTTCTCCATCAATATTTTTAAAACAAACAATGGTACCAAAACTATATTTTCTTTCCATAACACTTGTGTTTTATCCTAAAATATACCTTGTATTCTAATATACATATTTTTCATATGCAAAAAAGAACCTGTATTCACAGAATGCTGTAATTTGGTTGAACCTAAGACTCCCAAAATTCAGAGAAATGCAAACAATTTCAAAATTGTTTTGGAGACACACATAACAATTCCCCAATACAAAGTTAAAAAATCCCACCCCTAAAACTATGCAAGCAACTACGTTCCCCAATATATCTTCTTGGCGGGCTTTTTTCGCAATGCCCAGCCTAGTCTCGGGAGCAGCTGATGACTTTGGTTCCCACGGGACAAAAGATTATTTTAACTAGTGAAGCACCTGGGCAACCCCCTCCCCCCATTCTATATGGCAATCAAAAATGAGTAGGAAAAATGAATGCAGCCATGTTCCTTTCTAGAGTTGACACATGAAGCATAACTATGTTCTGATCAATATAAACTGAAAAATGCAAATCACATTTGTTCATTTATGCAACTTAAGCCAACACCACCCACCACCACCACCCAGCATTGGTAGCTGATATTCCTGCAGGGGTTAATCCAGATCTGAATGTTATATTTAATGATGAAAATAAATAAGTAAAGATTCTGATTGGAGCAGTAACTAAACTATGGTTTGGTGAACAAAGTGTTTGGAGCAGAGGCAGAAACTGATTTTCCTCATCCCAGGGGAGAAAAAGAAGAAGACATTCTTAAGGATAGTTCTAAAATATTTAAAAGCTACCATTTCAAAGAGCTAGTGTGCTTCAGTTTCAACAGAAAATTGTGGCTTAGAGCATATTGGTTCTCAGGAAAAAACAAATGCACAGCAGAATACACTACATTTCCCAGAAGTACCTTTGCTAGAGATTGTTATTGTGAAAGAAATTAACTTTAGGCCTCCCTCTAGAATCTTCATTCTTCCATTTCAGTACATAACTTTAAATACATAAAGTACTTCATAAAGCATAGTTTTTAAGATGTTTTGCTTCAAACCATGCTACGTAAGAGTGCATCCATATGCTGCATACATCTGCTAGTTGATGAGATAAAGATGTCAACATGTTGCCTTTCAAGCAGCCTCTATTTGAAAGGTAGATTAGATGTTGTACCTTGCATAAAATAGCATGACATAAAATTGGAATCTGGTTGGGCTCGTAGCATCACTGCTCCAAATATGCCAAAATTGAGTGGCACTGTCCTTTCACTAGTGGGAAATGCTATGTGTGGCCAAATGCAACCAGTGCTGGCAATCTCATTTTACTGTATTCTAGCTGATGAAAAACCTTATAAACTGACCATTATAAACTGTGTATTTGTAAAAAAAGTTATTGACATTTTCAGACTGTGACTTGGAATGTCAATTGAGGAAATGATAAAGAGTATACATTAATAAGGGAAATGAAAGAAACAGAAATTATTTATTAAATAAATTTGTATGGCCATCCAACTCATCCACAGGTGATTCCAGGTGGTTTACAACATCAAGAATTGCTGAATACACACAAGACAGTGAAGTTGTCAGCTTAATTACAAATGAAAGGACTAAACTGTAGTTCATGAAATACGAATTGGTACCAGCTAAGTTGCTGTGTTGCTATGAGTATATATGAAAATAGTAATCTATAAATTGGTGATGGTTATATACCTCATTCTATTGAATGAGGAAAATAGAAGAATCAGAGATGAATTGGAAGAAAAACAGTGGAACAACCTGTGACCTGTTGGGTCATTGTTTCAGAGATCTTTCCCTACCCAAACAGAGAAATGGGAAGTAAGGAAAGCTGCACTATTATTGCCAAAAAATGAGGATAAGAAAAATATACTTTAAAAAGCTGAAAGAAAGTCATAGAAAAAAATAAAAACTGGAAAAATGTTAACTTATAAATGTGATTTGCTTAGCCATGCAACTTGTTTAACATTTATGATAAGATTAGATATAATGATTGAAAGAAGGCTGTTATTGTTCCCCTACATAAAAAAAAAATAGCCACAGTAAATGCAAAAAATATATTCCATGATAGTGTTTCACAAATTTCTGATTGAAATAGAACCAAGAAATGCTAATTAGCAACATTTGAGAAATGCTTTATGCCAGGTGAAGGGCATAAAGATCCATTTTTTTGCTCTTCAGAAAATCACTCAGATATGTATGAAAGAAAATTGATTATATATTCACTGAGTCAGAGAAAGTGTACTGAATAGATCTGAAATATGGAATGTATTTGCAAATATGGATTTAAAGATCACAACATTCATTACTCACTTTGGCAATTGATTTCTGCTGAAATTATTGAGTTAGTTTTATACCATTCTTTGCAATACACTGGTCATTCATCTGGATGTGGAAGAGACCATTTGAGCCCCCAGTATGACCTTAGGTCAATGAGGCAACAAGGTTCCCAGAACTGATTCCCTTTTTCAGGTTTCCTTATTTATACCCAGCTAGCAATGCGACACCTAAAGGGCCAGAATGCTGCTGGCCAAAATACTTCAGATTCTGTAGGAGCGTAATTTCTGCATTGCTTCCTCCATAGAGAAAGAGATGAGGAAATAGAGCAGGAAGATTAAATGTGTCAAGCCTTACAAAATATGCTTAAATAAAAGCATTCTTGATGTCGTTGATGGTAGAACACTGGCTGGGGGACTGGAAGCAAATATGCTGGGGCAAGACTGCATCAATTGCTGTTGTTGCCCCAACAGCATCCAGTTTGACCAGGTCATGTTTACATCTGATTCTCCAACTTTGCAATTTCATATTCTACCATATCCTGGATTGGGGGGAAGAGGCGTTTTTATGTAAAGAAGTGTTTTGTCTGTCACTTTAAATCCATTTGATCTGGATCCTATGCAATACATGTTGCCACATTTCTGCATAGGCATGGTGCTCCATGCAGGTGTACACATTATAAAACTAAATAAAATTAAAAAATAGCTCTCAAGAAAGAGAAAATACAGCTGGCAGCACTTACCAAATTATAAAAGACTGACCTGTGAAAATCAATTAGCCGGTGTTACATTCCCCTCCCCCCAGCACCCCAATGATGGCTCTTTTAGTTTGAGGGGTTCTTGTCAGGAATGAACTGAAAAAACTTGGAAGTCTTCTTGAACTATTCAAGTTAATTGTTGTTACCTGATCCCAGAAAGCAACTGAGTCAACCACTCACATCCATACTCCACCACCAATCATGTGACCTGTCTCTTGCATGTCACACTTCTGAGCCAGCTTCTCTTTAAAATGGCTGGGATCTCCATTGTTCCTTCTGTGAGCAGGTTTCTAGAATCCAGATAGGTTCCTTTCTCTTGCATTGCCCCCAGTCCCTCCTCCTTCTAAACAGCCTTATCTGCCAGTCACAATTTTTGTGACCAGCAATTTTGATCACTTTTCAAATGAAACCCATGCTGGCCTTGGTAATCATAATGTCATTTACAATTTGCCACAAAACACATTTATTCAGTTAGTAGCACATCGGAGAAAAGAGAACTCCATATGAACTCATCGCTGAAGGCCTAATCTGATTATTTCCTCATGAAAATCCAAGCAGGGGTGCTCGTAAGCGGGGCTTAGAAGGGAAGAGGAAAGGGAGGCCTGTGCACAGCTGACTCTCATCATCAACACAAATAGATAAGTGACACAGGGTGTCAGGGGCAGCATCTAATTTGCCTGCGGCTCTCCTTGGAGAAAAAGGCCAGAGTGGACAGGCCTTAATAAATACTGATTGACCACTGAGGATTGAGGTGACACAAGTTATTTACATTGGGGATGAAGAACCACACTGATAAATTCCAGAAACTTTTTTCTAAATGATTAAAATTAAATCAAACTGGTTATGTTTCTATGTGAAAAAAGGGTGGGGGGAGGGAAGGTAAACTGACATTCACATACCCACTGGTGTACATGTGTGCCATGAAATGTTGAAAAAAAACAAAATGAAGGTGAACACCCGGGATCAAAGAGATGGGAGATATTTTAAATCCTAAGTGAATGCATAAGATCAAAAAAGTGAATATTTTTAAATCTACGTGAATACATGTGACAGAAGACTTATATATGTATATGATTTATTGATTTTTTTTAAAAAAATAGCATGTATTTTTATTTATTCACTCACAAAACCCTGAACTTCATGGCAGGACATTTGTACATACTGGGTGACAGAAGAGACAAGCAACAATAAGTCTGCTCACTTCATTTCTTTTTCTTTTTTTTCTTTTAAGATACTGCACTCTCATCTTTGCAATTTTTTTAAAAAAAACACATCTTCACATCAAATTTGTTATTTTATTTAATTTACTTTTTTCCCTCTAATACTCCAGTTGCTTGCAGGGTTTCTGACAAATATTAACTTTGTATCAATATTTGTCCTTCCTGTCATGAAATGAGGATTTTCCAGCTCATTTCACATTTGAAAAGAAAAATATGCCATGGGGGTCCTCTACTTAAGAAAAAAGCACCCCACACAACTCATGTCCTTTATTTAGAAAAGAAGGAAAATGTTTTTAAAATGTTCCTTAAAAATAGATGTGATACTTAAAGGCATGGAGACC